TGATCCTTGTTAAAAAAAAACCTGCAAAAGGCAAAGAAGCTTTTCAAGGTAAGTTTGTTGTCATTGTCGAAGGATTCGCTCGTTAATTTTTTGGGAAAACCTCTCGGATTTCTGCCAGTTCATTCTTGTCTTCAAGCGTGATCTGCGTTAAAATTTTTAAACACGAACCATATTTTCTTCCACGGAAAGGTTACGATGCAGTTTCTACATCAGCTTCGTTCTCATTCAAACAAAGCTAGGTTGAAATCTGGAAAGGTACAGTCAACATCCCAGTCCTCAGTGTTTACAGACATATGTAAGACACTGTAAGTATTCACTCGCCAATGTGACGCTGGAGTCTTTTAAAAACTGAACATTGTGTCTGGCTGGGAGTCGCTTCCATCTTTCTTTCGTTGGTCTTTGGAAAAACATTGCAAATGACAAAGAAGCTCGTCAAGATGATCGGGTGCAGGCATGTTTGATATCATATTTGTCGAAGGAATTGCTCATTTTCTCTTAGGCAAAACATCTCGGATCTCTGCCAATCGATTTTCGTCTTCTCAACTGTGTACTACGATAAAATGTTCAAACACTGACTAGAATCCTCTTCGATAAGATTACGAGTTAGTTTCTTCATCGCCTTCGTTCACAGGCACAGTTTAAAATGTTGAGGGACAAAGTCAAAATCTAAGTCCTCAAGGTTGATAGACGTCTTGTAACTTAATTTCAACCTTTTTTTCCGAGGTAAAGAGATTTAGAGTTGTGAAATGAGCATTTTCTTTAAAATTTTGGTCCGTATAGCAAGTTACGGACCGCAACAAATTGACCAATCGCATGGCGAAAACAGACTCAGCCATCTAATAAAAGTCTTTACCGACCTGAAAATTCAACAGGTACCGTAAATCCTCTATTTCAAACACGTTTGAGGGGAGGGGGGCTTAATAAAGACGGGGGCTTGTTTCATTTACAGTCAACCCAAGTCAATCATGCACTTCGGCTTCTTCTACTCAGGAAACAAAATTAATGTGTCGTTTTAATACTGTACCTTTGAGACCTTGAACAAACGTTGGCTCCGTTCGCCGCCAAAGATCCGTCACTTTTGTGCAGCGTTGCTAGGAGAATCAAACTTGCTTTTAAATACAAAGCCCACAAAAACGAAATAGCCATTTCCAGTGCTGTAAACGAGCTGGTTGGACCAGTCTTCGCATGGAAACTTTTCGTCAAAGTGGTTATTGCTCAATGCAACTTCAAGCTTATCATCGAATTACAGTACAACAACACTTTTGTTGCGTGACCTATCAAAGGTATAGATTTCCTTTCCTTGAATAACCTACATTTCTCCATGGAGGTTTCCCTTTAACCTAAGATTCATTTAAGTCAAAACAATTTTATTGATTTAATTTGGTTATTTCAAATGTCACGAATCACAAGAAATTTTCACATAATGGCTTTAAAAAGAAGGTTAAAACGATAAAAAACGGTCTCAAGACTTTGTCCTGACAATTTCACAACCTATCTTATCTCACGCTCGCATAGCCTGCGGGCTACCGTAGTTGCTTCAAAGCCGTCTTTAGTGTCGTTACGCAACGAGCGTTGCGTGACAATACTAAAAATGGCTTTGTAGGAGACTATCTGCGAGCAGGGTCACTCTTGTTAGTTCGGGAAAATTGGGATTTTTACATTCTCGTACCCAGAGCTTCGATCCTTTTGGTCTGTCATGGATCCACGACGCTGACCAAAAGGATCGAAGCTCTGGGAACGAGGATGGGATTTTTGGCGACACCCAGCCTAGCCCTTGCCTGCGATTGCTGCGAACCGCAGACGTATTTCCGGTCGAGAAAGAAGCGGGAGAGAAGCGACGACCGGAAATACGTCTCACGTTCGCAGGCTAACCTAGCCCCAGAGTCTTCTGTTTTTTCAATATGGCGGCCGACATTTTGGTAAACGAGAAGACCCTGAAGGCGAGATTGAATGCTTGTTCCCAGAGGCCGCGATCCTTTTGTACAGCGACGGGGATCACTCTTGAAGAATCCGAAAAAAAAAAACATCTCTTATTGGCCGACAAAATCTTGTTCATCGCATGCAAATTTCTTTGCTAAGCACGTTGATTTCATTTCGACAGGTCATTTGTGTACACACAAATCTCATACGACTCCTGTACGACTTGACAGGGGCACCCAACGACTGTTCTGTGAAATGCATTGAAAACAGTTTTTAGGCTATCCAGAGTACTTTTTGATCTCTAGAAATGCATTTTAAGCGGCGCCAGTGTATCCTCGGTGGGAGGGCCGTGACAATGGTAGCTTTCCTAGAGAAATATTGTTCTTGGGTGGAGGGGATTTGTAAACGTCGTTCTGCAAATGGCCGAGGGTTCCCCGGGGTCACCCCCGCCCGGGATGGATCGTTCTGTCAGGAGCCAGGAGCCCAAAAACCTTAAACCATATGGGTAGTGTTGGTTCCAAACTCTGATGGAATTCCCTATAGATATTCTGTCGCTTCAATTTCAGTTGCGCTGTCTTTGTGAAAAAAGGTTGACAAATTAAGATTAGTAAAAAATACAGTACAACCTTCTTTTCGCATCAACTAGCAGTGGTAATGTAATTCGCCTGTTCGGTCAGTTACAGTGAGCATTAAAAAAAGTGTTTTCGAAATTAAGCTTTTTAAAAACGTTTTCTCGCGTTAACATTGCCCGACCCGTAACTAAATTCCCATAAAATGATACCAGTAGAACTTGATCGTTACCACCTCTTGTCATTTCCATTTCAGAGATGTGACCAACAAGAGTCATTCCTTTCTAGCCTGTTAACTGGAGTTTTATAGCTCCTCAGTCTAAGTACATTCTTCTGTCGCGGTTAGTCAAGTACTCGGTTTCATTATCTTTACTTGCTGTCTTGTCTTAAGCAGTTTTATGAGAGTTATCAAATACTCCTGATATGATTTCCTTTAAAACAACGGGTGTTGACTAGCCCAAGTCCCCTCTACCACAAGGGGATTCAACAGCGCTTGAATCAAATCCTCCCACCCTTGCAGCCAACCTGGAAAAATTCGCTTGCACTCGTGTTTAATATATACAGAAAGACACTCCCAAGGGAGAAACCCAAACACACGCCTGAAATAGAGCTCTCGCTAGTAATTGGTCAGACTTAAGGCTAGTGTTACGCGAGCGAGTACTGGGAATAGAGTGAACATAGCCATATTTTCCTTTGTTTCAAACTCATTACCATACTGGATTACCATACTCTCAAAACATGGAAAATGAAATTTTCAACAAGGACAAAATTAATTGAACCACAAAAAATGCACTATTAATAAATCAAATGATCATTATCTTTTGTACATTCTTTGCCATCTTCCTCAAGAGGCTATTTTTAGGGAAATTCTTAAATGGAAAGAAACCCTATATAAACAAAAAGTCATAGCAGTTTTAAACTATGAATTTATTCTTTATCATTCATTTGTTGCCCCAGCCAAAAAAATGAATAGATCTGTCAGGAACCCACCTGGTTCTGTTAGTTTAAAATCTGTTGCAGAACAAATCTCCTCTCACATCAACTAGCAGCTGGTCTAACAAACGGCGGTGAGCACCATAACAAAGCGTTTACATGTCACCCATAACTAAAATGGTACCAGTAAAACTTGATTGCCTACCGCATATTGTGATTTCCATTTCAGAGATGTGACCAATACGACTGTTATTTCTGCCTAGCTCTTTAACTTGAGTTTTATAGTTCCTCAATTTAAGTAAATGTTTCTGTCGCGGTAATATCAAGTGCTGTTTGATTGGATCTTGCTTGTGTTATCTTAAGCAGTTTTTGAGAGTTATCAAATGCCTGAAATGCTTCCGATATGATTTCCTTTAGCCGTGAATATTGTATTGGTATTGCTTCAATTTCCATGCCGCGCTGCATGTCTTCGTGAAAAGACGTCAACAAATTCAAATAAATGAAAAATACAGAACAAACTTCTTTTCTCATCAACTAGCAGCTAGACTCACCTGTTTGATAAACGGCGGTGAGCATAATAACAAAGCGTTTTCGAAATTTTTTTCCCGCTTCACCGACTCAAACTAAAATGTTACCAGTAACGCTTGATCGCCTACCGCATATTGTGATTTCCATTTCAGAGATGTGACCAAAAAGACCGTCATTCCTGCCCAGCTCTTTAACTTGAGTTTTATAGTTCCTCAATTTAAGTAAGTTCAAACGTCGAATTTCACATGTGCCGAACTTAACGCGAGAGTTCAATGCATGTGAAGTGCGACGTTTGAATCAATTAAATTCGACTGTTTAAATTATATGCAACGTTTGCCGTTTCTGCGACTGAAACAGTCGAAGATTCGACTTAGCTTCGACTTTCTTAGCTTTCTTTACTTTTCTTTACTTATTTAGCTTCGACTCGCATTTCACATGTGCCGAACTTAATGAATGAATTTTAGTAAATTATTATTATATTACTGGGAATATTGACAGCGAAGAGAGTTAAATTCGACAGAGTTCATTGAGTTAAATTCGACGTTTGAATCAAATGCCGTATTTAACTATTTTAGTCGACTAAAATAGCAATTAAATTCGGCACATGTGAAATTCGACGTTTGAACTGGGCCTAAGTGTTTCTGCCGCGGTAATATCAAATGGTGTTTGATTTGATCTTGCTTAGTTTTTGAGAGTTATCAAATGCTTCTGATATGATTTCCTTTAGCCGTGAATATTGTATTCCGCATCTTTTTTCTGGGTCATAAAAATTTTGAACCTTTTCATAGAACTTAGGTTTACGTAAAAGCGATCCATTGTTCGCAGCAGCGCAAATTTCACACATCCAGGGGTAGTGGTTCGCCATGTTGTAGCCTCGCAAACAGCCGCCAACTTTATAAAGCTTCTTCCACTCGAAATATTTATTATATTCTCCGTCATTTTTGTCGAGAAACGTCAAATAATCTGCTAATTCTTTCAGAGACGAGAAATCAAACACGTTTATATAAGAACCTGGTATAGCAAGGGCTTTATAATCTGCACCCCCCATCACTACAGGGACCAATCCCAGTTCCAAGGGATTGCACCAATATTCTCAGTGATGTAATCTTTGCAATTCATGTTCTCGAAAGCCAGGATAAACTTGTATTCTTGCAAGAGAGAAGCACATTCTGGGGCCGGATGATCGTCCGCCGTTTTCGAGCAGTCTCGGACTGTTTGATGGAAATATTTCGCACAATTCCCATAAATATCAACGGGAATGAGCTTTCTCAGGTTATGTATGTACATCATTCTGACTTTTCTTTCATCCAGAACTTGGCCACAACCACTTCCCAACCATACAGCAAGCTTCGTCTTCCCAATGGCGTGATTTTGACTTGATACTGAACTACGTTCACCTTTCGTCAGCGGCAAATAAAATCCATAAGGATGGAAAATATCCGACTCTCGCATAAACGTCATTGTCCAGTTAAACACATTGTCCAAGTCACTGCGGTGCTTATGAGGTGCAATGTATGATGTAACTATTGGGTTTTCCAGGTGGAAGTAAACCCAGACTTGATGTTGAGGCCTTTGACGTTGCAATCGAAGCATCTCTTTTGGAGAGGGCATATTATATGCGTGAAAGATTACTACGTCGCTACTCGTGGAGTCTTTCTTGTCGTATGTTAGTTCACAGTTGGTTACTGAACATTTCTGGCCTTTGAACTGAGTGAAATCTTCTGTAGTTGTCAATCCAGGCCAAGGCAAACCACTGTAAAAGAACTCTGTGTAAATTAAAATCTTTCGAGGCTTGGAGTAGTTTGCTACCGAGCCATTCTTGGAACCAACATTAATAAAGTTATCGGAATCCATCTCAGAATATACACCACGACCTGAATAATACAAGAACAACGAAACGATCACAAAGGTGACGAAAACTGCAAATAAATGGACGTGCTTCATACTAAGGTAAGTGAATAACTTTGGAACCGGAATTTCGTACTGATTTCCCAGTCTATTCTTGTCATTCTTATATGCTAATCAGTAAGGATGCTATTGAATGATAGAGAAGGCACACACCACTGAGTGCTCTTGCAAATAAGTTAGAGTAGAGCGCGAATCAGTCAGTATAAAACATGGACTGCGGACAGCGGACTACGGCTGCGGACTGGGTATAAAATACGGACTAGGTATAAAACGCGGACTAGAAAATATGGACTGGGTATAAAACACGGACAAGGTATAAAAGGCGGACTACGGACTGCGGACTGGGTATAAAATACGGACTACAGACTACTTTTGTAAAAACCGTGCAAATTGGTTCTAGGTAAGGAAAAATAAGATCAAAAGATCTCTAAATAGCAACTGAGACACGTGAGTTTATAAATTCTTGGTGGAGGTGTCCCGCCCGGTTCTCTGAATCATGAGCCGGATCAAAATGCTATTTTAGACCTTGTCTTGGTCTCTAACAATCATGAAAGAGGTCAGGATCAGGGGTGGTACTCCCTTCTATAATGGAAGGGTAGGGGGTTTCGGCCCTTTTGGTCTGAAAACACTTTGCCCATTTTGTTGTGGAATCAGGTATGGTTTTCGAGGGAACAACGGGAGCGTACATGAATGGACGTATTTATCGTTTCAATTCCAAATGAATAAGAACGAAATAGAAATGTGCGAATTCGAAATGCATTTGGAGAATTTTTTTGTTTCCGCTCTAACTTGGTAATGATGACAAAATTTCTGCCTAATTAGACCTAACCTGTTCAAGGCTCTGAGATAGTTGGGTCTGCTGAATTGAGAAAGCGAAAACACGAAAATAAAACGGGAGAAAACTGGGGAGTCTCCCCAACTATCTGAGAACCTGGAACAGGCTAAATTAGGCCAGGTCCGAAAATGGGTATGGATTTTAAAGATCTAGTCTGAAAACAGGTGTGGAAAATGACAATTTTTTGGTCTCCAATAAGGTCAGGATTCGGAGAACCGGGCACTACAACCCCACCAAGAATTCCCAGTACTGCCCGCTTCAGGGGATCAGGAGCAGGGTGTAAATCATGTCATCATAATCATCGCTTAGAATATAACGTTGGATGACTCATTTCGGTTATTATTCACGTATGTGAGTAATCCCTCGTACCTAAATACTGCTTTTGTACATCGCATTGACTTTCTCGTCTGAGTTCTTCATTCAGTCCTCATATTCCCAAGGCTTTATTTGAAACGGAATTGTGGCATCCGATAAGAATTTTACTGATACCAATACTATTTTTTAAAATTCGGCGCTTTTTATTGGTGTAAAACTGCAAATTGAAATCTCTTCAAATTCCTTCTTTTAATAAAATTCAGAATTTAATTTCAGTTGCCTTGAGTACCGGCATAACCTTCCTTCTCCGTGGGAAGAATAGACTACGTGAACAGCGTTAAAGCTGGGACTACTGTTTTTGCTAGTCCGCTTTCTATTTCTCTCAGTTTTACCTTCTAAAGCTGTTTTTATATACATAGTCCGTAGTCTGCGTTTTATACCTAGTCCGTGTTTTATATTCAGTCCGGAGTCCGCGTTTTATACCCAGTCCGCAGTCCGTGGTCCGCAGTCCATGTTTTATACTGACCGGAGCGCGAATGACGTCTGAGTGACTGATTTGCAATTTTTGCCTGAGTTTAGTCATTGGTAGTCTTTACACTAGAGCCTAAATAAGCTACGACATATTTCAAGACAAGTAAATTTTAATTACTTTAAGTAAAATAAGGCTTCGCACACGACCGATTCTTTTTACTTCAGGTTATTTTCCCAAGCAACAAAATTAAGAGGGTGTGAATGGGGTTAACCGACTAGCGACAAATGGCGAAAAATATTACTGACTACCGACAAAATTATTAAAAACTTACCGACTACCGACAGGAAAAATATAACCGACTACCGACATGGGCTGGTATTATCAATATTTGTTTCCAGAAAAAAGAGCATTTTGCGTTTTTTTTTTTGTCTAGGAAGGAAGTAACCTCTTTAAATTTATGACTTATCAGATGGCCTAACGGAAAGAATTTCCTTTTTTTGATACAGTTACATTGCTACAGCCAATATCAAAATCGCAAAGTCACACCTTAAAGATGCTACCGACTTTATAAATTTTATTGAAACGACAAAGGTGAAAAAAGCCGAACGTTTCTTGTTCGGTCCGAGAAATGCTTAGATTAATCCTCAACGAAAATTCTTTCCCGTTTAATGGAAAGCACTATCAGTACAGACCCACGGTACCGCGGGGATGGGCACAAAGACAGCAGTTCCCTTTCCAACATTTTCATGGCATATATTGAAACACAAAGTTTAATTACGCAAAAACCGTCTTTAAACCAACTGTTTGAATTTGCTACATAGATGACAATGACAGTTTTTCCCTATATGGGACATAAGTAAACCAGATATCGTACCTTTCTTCGCCGAACAAGTAAACTTACGTCACCCTACTATGAAATTCACGCCGAAATATCTGAAAAAGAGACATTCTTTTAGAAACAGTTGTATACCAAGGCACAACATTCAGCGAAAAATGAGAAAAAGCTATCCTTGCTGTAAAGACGCATTTCAAACGGAAACCTTACAGTATATACATTTTCACCTCTTATCATCCACCAATTGTTGAGAATCCTACGAAAAAACTCCTCTGAGGACTAAGTATTTCAGATTTCAAAAGGGCTTGATGGACAGAGGCTAGCCACACAATGTTGGAAGAAAAATTGCTATCAGAAGTAAAACTCACAGAAAGAAAGGCAGCTCTCCTGAAACAAAACAACAATGAAGAAAAAGAAATGTTGCCTTTCGTGACACAATACCAGCCCTTAGTGTCTATTATAAAAGAAGTGAGTTTAATGAAAAAGTGGAATCTCATACAAAACCAACCACTACCTTGACAAAATTTTAAAGAACCACGTAAAGGGCTATATCTCGGAGAAAGTAAAATTATGGCAAAGGACATGCTTGTTAGAGCCAAAACATAAGAGGGATAGTGCAGCCTGTCACCCCTTGCAGTTTTTCATTAAAAATAATTGAAGTATTCAAAAGGCTAGAGTCCATTGATTAATTAATTACTTTTTACTGTGCCCTGTAGTCTACCGGGAAACCAAGTTCGCATTTACAATAAAAGCTTTGGTGATTTTATCAGTACTCATCATATTCATTTGGCAAACAATGGTGAAATAAACTATCATGTTGCATAAACAAACAAGACGGTTAATGAAGTTTAAGTGCAATCAAATGATGCATTCAGATTCTTACAAGTTTTACTTTTTCCTTAGGGATCTAAGTCTCGAAAAGTGGGTGAAATAAATAACAAATATTATTATACATCAGACTCACTATGAAAAATCTGATTGGTCGAGAGCATTCAATCAATTCACAATAGCTTGTGAACTTGACATGATAAATGCAATATCTGCTGCAGATATTGCATTTATCATGTCAAGTTCAAAGTCTGCCTGGTTACCAAGCCCCTTGGAGTGTTCTCCTCAGAAACAGAATGGCTGAATGTCTTCTTTTGCCTATTGTTTAAAACATGTATAATAAAACAATTATTGAATTCGGTTTTCGCATGATATCATGAATTATCAAAACCTCGTGGAAGCCCTTCTTTTATAGTGTTCAGTACTCGATGGAAAGCTAAGAAAGTGATCGACTAAACGGCGTTTAAACCAGCCGTAGGACACAGAGTGGCTATGAACTAAAGGTAAGGGAGCTTTTTGAATCAATATTTCTCGTGATCATGATTTTTTTTCCTTAGCGTTGTAGATTCGAATACATGTGATAAAATTCGATCAATAAGGGCCCGAATCACATGTAATAATGCAAGAAATATCGATTTTCGTTATCTTAAAGGCTACTAGTACAGATAGACAAACAAGAAGACTTCATATCTTTAAGATTTTTGCGTTTATTTAGCGTCAGATAATACACTAATAATTCTAGTATATTCCGACCAAATGACCTCTGAAGCCCGAATCCACAAATAGTGGCGTTTATTTAGCGTCAGATAATACACTAATAATTCTAGTATATTCCGACCAAATGACCTCTGAAGCCCGAATCCACAAATAGTGCGCTTGGGCTGCCTGTGATAAGACACAACAGTTTCTACAATATACTTACAAAGGCAGTGGAAGGCGCAAAATTGCCTCCGATTTGCCGGTTCCATACAGACCTTACCGTTAGCGCTCCAATTCCCTTTTAAAAAGTCTGGCTCTCTAACAAAGAGTTTCACTTTTTAATTCTTTGAAAAGCTCCTTTTAAATAAGGGCGATGGAATACAACATAACGAGCAAAATTTAAACATCCGAACAGTGCTACGACAGCAAACACGACCTCGTTCTTTTGCAACAAAATAAAACAATATTTTTGAGCCAGATTACACATTATTTATATTAACTCGAAACCAGCTTTCCTCGGTTGTAAGGGAAGGAGCGGAGGCAGGAGCTGCGGTGATGGAACAAGGAGTAAACTTGTTGGCCAATTCAATTTCCCTCTTTCGTCGCCATTTTTTTTCTCACTACAGAAATATGAGGACGTCCTCGAAAACAATTAATTAAAATTAATTTCGCGGGAAAGCCTGTTCTAAAAATAATTCTTTATCGGGTTGACTCAAGGGTACAGCACGTATGGAGGCTCCAAGTAATCGGCTCCTGGTGGCGCTATAAAATTTGTATCTCAGTGTTCCCGAAAATTTTAGATGCAATTTGTATAGGTAATAGCATGATTTGTAGTGATATTTGGCATAAATACCACAAGGGATATTTCGAAATTCTTATACGTAATTTCACGAGCCGTTAGGCGAGTAAAATTTGAGACAATTCCGAAATATCACGAGTGGTATTTATGCCAAATATCACATACAAATCATTACATTATTTGTTTCTAAAAGGTTTGTAATTTTCACACGTAGGTATTTCAAATTAAGCTGAAATACCACTGCTCTAAGCCAATCAAATTGCAGAAATTTCTCACTTAGTAGTATAAAACGTATAACGAAGGAGATAATTTTTCAGATTCCTTCTTTCATCACATTTTTTAGTCCGAAAATTGAAGGATTCCTTTTTACTCGCTACGAAAAATAACCTAACCGGGGGAGTGAAATGTGAAAATTAAACTTCAGAAAATCGTACGGAATTTATTAGCAAGATTAGATGAGCTTCGAAATCGTACATGAATGGAATGGTCATCTAGAAATTTTCAGCCAAGTCAGAAAGAAAATTCAAGGCAAAATTTGCTTTTACGAACAGATATTTTACAGAAAACAGTCATTGGATGTCCTTGACCGGAACTGTGAAAAACAACAATAGGTCAAATTGCATCACACTTTCTTGTACATTTCCTTGCCGTTGATTTGCATGACCGCAAAGTGAAACGTCCAGAAAACTTCCTGGTTTTCACTTTTAAAGGAGGAAATGTGGCACATGTTCTTGTTCACTTTTTCCACTGCAGCTCATTTTTTTTAGCTCCGCCATAAGATTCGTATATGTTCGGTAATCCTAGGGCAATTTGGATCTTTTTGAAAATTGCAAGGGCTTCAATATTATTTTCCCGATTGATTGACCTAGACGCAATAGTACCATCCCTCCTATAGCAAGTGTTGCATTGTTGCGCGGATGCGGTCGCTAAGCTTGAATATTGTATTCACGTCGCGTTTTTAACCTGGTAGTTTGCGGTCATATCGAAGCGTAAAGGTCAACAGTGTTTGTTGATGAGCGAGCGATTATTGTGCAGTTGCGATGGGTTTTGTGGAGCCAGCGAGCAAGAAGCAGGAGCACACGTTACCTGCAGATTAGCCGATGGCAATTTGGAGCGGATTCGTCGATTATTTTCGAATAGACCTTGTCACGGTTTCGACGCCATCTTGACGAGTAGGCAAACGTGTCAGAAATTACAGTGTTTGTGTGAGAATCTAATGTCGAATAATTTCCGTAAAACGGCTGTACTCAAAAAAATATCAATTGTAAACTAAAGCTACAAAGCAAAGGATTGTCCTAAAAAAATTGGGGGGGCGTACCTAGATTAGATTTGTCCAGAGGCTTGATTTAGATTTTCCACATATTTGTCCGTAATTTTCCCGGGACTTTCTTACAGACAAATGTATAAAAAATTTTAAAAAGTGGTTTTAGGTCTACTCGTGCATGTAACACCCTCAATTTTTTCAGTAGAATTCTTAGGAAAGAAGCTTTAGTTTACAAATCATATTTTTGTCAGAACAGCCGTTCTGACAAAGTTACGGAAGTTATTCGACATTAGATTCTCATACAAACACTGTAATTTTTCACGCGTTTGCCTACTCGTCAAGATGGCGTCGAAAACCGTGACAAGGTCTATTTATAGCGCTTCGCGTGAAGGCGCGTGGAGATGGTCCGTGTGATTTGTAGGCAACCTTTAATTCTTCTTTAGGGATAGTACCTACAATTGCAAAACTCAACAAAATGCCACTTTAACCGGCCTGGACAGACAAAGATACGTTCAGTTAAAGGTATCTTAGCTTTGTTTTGTTATATTTTGACTTTTGGACTATTTTGGTTCATGGGAGTTTCAACGACTCATCCTTACAACGTCTGGGCGGCCTGTGATAACACTAGAAACAGAGAATCCCTAGATATTCCTCCAAGCAAGACAAAGTCAGATCAGCGACCTTTCCTCCATATAGCAGTCAACATTTGGAGCAATTTAGACAAAGACTTTAAACAGTTATATTTAACATCATTTAAAAAAAAGTTGAAAACACACATGCTAGAGAATTATTTTAATGACCGCTTTTTATAATTTTATTCATTTTTTATTATAATGTTCTTTGCTGTTTAGTATAGAGTGTTTTCACATGACGTCACGGTGGCCATATTGGTGTCCCAAAACAATCCTCTGGGAGTTGAACTCTTTTCTTATGCAAACGCTTCCTTTTGTTCCAATAAATTTGCATAGATGCTGGCCACGTGAGTGAAAACACTCTATTGAAAAGCCCCATGGGGAATACTAATAAAAGTATGTATGTATGTATGTATGTATGTAGGTAGGTAGGTAGGTAGGTAGGTAGGTAGGTAGGTATGTATGTAATTTCCCTTGCAGCGATTGTGCTACTCAGTAATGCACTCAGTTATCATTGTGGAAGGTTTAGGTGGCTCCGTTATTTATGCAGGCGCATTGAGCTATGACGAACTTTTTGTCATAAGTTGTTTTTGTTTTTAAAGCGAAGGCTACGAAACTTTGAAAAGAACTAGAGATGTCACTTGGCTATCACATGAAATAATACGAATTTGCATGATGGCGTCATTTTACTACTACGACCAGAATCCTTGGGGTTTTTGCGTTCTTGTGCAAATTAGCGCCTTTGTTATTTAAACCTCGCTTGGATTACCATATTTATCTGTGAAATGAAAAACGAGAAGAATTCTGGCCATAGTAGTAAAATGACGCCATCGCGCAAACGGCCTATACTAAGTTTAACACAGATAGTATATGCCTTGGATTCCTAGCTAGAAAGTGTGACATTTCACATTTCACATTTCTTGGCCCTTGAATACACAGTCTTTATTCACAACTGTATTAATATAATTCTAACAAAACTAACTACTGAATGTACATAGGTAGTGGTACAGTATTTTCTTGAAATATAAATAAATGTTATCCCAGTCAAACTCTTTGGTTAAAATGTTGATCATATATAACCGTAACCCTCATGTAAGAACCTGCTTAATTTTGCTTGGCTAAAAAGGTTGTCATATTTTTGGTTGTTAAAGTGGCAAATTTCTGCCAGCAGGTTCTTAAATCTTAAACAACTTACATGCGGGTTTTTATAGCTTGTTCCAGGCTCCGAGATAGTCGGGCCCGCTATCCCCACTATCTGAGAGCCTGGAATTAGTCTTGCACCCCGAAGCAGGTGTACTGTGAGCAGTGAGCATCATTTTCGAGCCCCGCGTCCAGGCATCAAGTCTGAACACAGCCTAAGCCTCGCTAACATGATTCCATTAAATGGAGCTAATAACTTCTACGTAAAATGTGCATAATAAATGTTAGTGTAGCGCTTTTTTTGAGTGCATGTTTTTTTTCAACGGGCGTAATCAAATAAGTTAATTACTAGGTGGAATATTGTACTATTTGGGGGAGTGTTAGTTGTTCGTTAGGGTAGAGATACCTAGCTTAAACAGTGGCGTCTCCAGACCTTCAGATAAGGGGGGAGGCCTGGTCAACCAGACCCTGAGATAAGTGGGGGGCGGGGGGGGGGGGGGTGGGTGGCGGTCTCAAAATATTTTTCCGCCCTTCGGGCCTCATTTTGGTCTGTTCGAGGCTCCGACTGAGAAAAGCGAGTCCGCTAAATTAAGAAAGCGCAAACACCAAAATTAAACGGGAAGAAACTGGGAAGAGGAACGGTCTTTTTCCCGTCTCCGCTCCCTTTTCCCGGGAAGACCTTAGATAAAAATAACCTCAACCAGGTTGGCGTCTACCGGTTTTAGTCAAGGGTTTGGGTGGGAGGCTCAGTCTCGCGGGCTCACAAAACCTGGTCTAGGTCATTTTTATTTAAGGATTTTCTCTTTTCCCACATGACGCGCTCATATTTCCACGTGCCTTTCACTCAGACGTCATCCCACTATCTGAGAGCCTGGAACAGTCTATCCTCAAACGAGTTGTTGTAGACAAAGAACAGGTTAAAATAAAGGAACAACATTACTTTGGAACAATATCTAGTCAATCTTAACGTCACATGGGGACGCCGTCAACACCAGCAACAAGTTTACCCGCTACAAACACTTTCCGGATATTCCGGTCATCACCTGCAAAAATAATAAAATAAAAACAGTTGCCTACGTGCTGCAATTATAACAAATAAAAGGGATTTTCAGTTGGTTGCTATTAGCAAGAACCAACGTTGCTCAGTATGAAGGTATGAAAGTAACAACCGAAAACATGGTAAAGATTTAAAATACGCAACTTCATTTTAACTTACCTAGCATTAAAAATTTTTGAACTACATCCTGCAGAGAAAAACAAAACGAAATGTAATAGAGCGTTGCGTCCGGTCACCGCAGAGGTCAGGGTAACATTCCGGGTCAAACCTGAATTTATTCAGGTTCTTTTTCAACCGCTTACGTTTTTTATGCTACTGCGAAGATCACGTTCTCTTTCATAAATGTACAATACTCTTGTAAAGTCCGTGATACAGACGGCTAACGCGTTTAAAATAGTTCAGTTCATCTTACAAACTAAAAGAGAGTACTGATCACGCATATGGCAGGAAGCGTGGCCGAGCAGTTAGAGCGCCGGACTTGTTATTCGAAGGCCCCGAGATCAAGTCCCGCTCTGACCGCTAGCTGGATTTGTTCACGGTAAATAGCCAGCTTGTTTGCCTCATAGGCCAGTTAGGATTCTTAACCCTGTTAAGTTCAATTTGAATTTTTTCTTTTATGCATTTGCTCGGCCCCACTAGCATTAGTGCTACAAATACTACCGAGGGTAAATAACGGAATTATTTTTTATATTATTATACTTCAAACTAGTCGATCAAACTGAATTTGCAACTTAGGCGTTGATCACTGTAAACTGAGTCTTTTTAAGAGCCGACGTGTAGATCGTTAGCCCTTCGTCAGCCAAGAGAATCTGATTCGCTCTGACGAGGGGGTTAGCACTCATACTGGAGAATAAGAGGAGTCTCGAAAGTTGTCGGTATGTCCAAAATGGATAAGGAGAGGAAAATACAGGTGACAAATTTTTCTAACAAAATTCGAAGAACGGATCGAACGACGTGTTCAAGAATCATGCATTGAGAACAACGCACCTGGCGTCTTTAACGTAATGAACCTTACCCTTAAATCATCTGCTTTGAAACAGTCGAAAGGTGAGTCTTCGGCTTCTGCATCAATCAACAACGCATCAAAGTCTTTACCGACCTGAAAATAAAACAAGTACCGTAAATCCTCTATTAACTCCCCCCCCCCCCCTTGGGGGCTTATTCATTTCAAACACGTTTGAGGGGAGGGGGACTTAATAAGAACGGGGTCTTGTTTCATTTAACGACGTTCGTGGTATCAGTTCTCCATAAAGAACAAGAATGCAAAGTGGAAAAGCTCAAGTACAAGAAGTTGGACGTCATTCAACCGAAAAGCAAATCCGAACTTCCAACACGTGAAGAAAGCATCTCAGATCAGTCCAAATTAAATTTACAGTCGTGATTTATTAATACACTCTATCATTTATTAGTGAAGACTAATGAGGAGGAGGGGGAGGGTTTAAAACAGAGATGGGGGGGAGGGGGGCGCTTAATAGTGGATTTACGGTATACATGTATACCACAAAACCTTTCCCAAACACGCAGAGAGAACTGTAAAAAGGACCATTACAAAGAGAGCATTCAGGATATTTCATTAAGTGTATCTTTGTCTTACAGTTTATTATTACTTTTTTACGTATTACTTTGGGAACTACTATTAGTGCACGAGCTGATAAACCATTGCTATGTGCCGCATACTGAATTACATTGTGTTACAGTGTATTTCCTGATTGCATTACTAACATTACTTTGCAATGTATACTGAGTACTTTCACGTATTTGAGACCTTTAGATTCTAAGATGAAGACAAATAAGAGTACGAGATTTTCTCAATACTAAGCAGTGCTCGTGCGTGAACCAGCGTCATTTTGGCGGGAAAAAGTGATAGTCGTCGTCATTCTACTAGGAGTTTTAGCGAAAATGTCGTAGTGCCGATAGCAAGTTATCAAATTTTTGCGATCGGCAAAGGGCTAGCCTGCGTAGCAAGCGTTTCCGTTTAGTTTCGGAGCAAAGAAAGACCGGGGAACGGGATTCTCGGTTTTGGCCGCGCGAGAAATCAAATAAGAGCCAAAAAATGGAAGTTTCTTCCCCACCCCCTCCCCGCTCTTTTACTTGCGCCATTTTTCGCGCGGTCTTTGACTCTCGTTCCTCGTTCTTTGCTCGTAAACCGCACGGAAACGCTTGCTACGCAGGCTAGAAAAGGGCTGAATTCGAAACTCCTTCAATAAAGATAGAAGTGCTATGAGTTCTGGCTTTTTTGGTGAAACATAAGTACAAATTATGCAGCTTTCTGGGGTGTCTATTTCTTAAGAATACGCGAAAAAACTTAATATTGTATTGGTATGGTATTACATTGTTTTGGTTTGGCATCGGCACAGTATTTTCTTGTTATTCTAACATGTTACGTCAAACTTGACATAAAAGTTTTTACCTCAAAGTTTCCTATCTTTTCATCCAGTCCTAGAACTAAACAAAAGAAGAAAAAACCTCAAAACCTTGTTATTGATTTTTTCTATGGAAACGCAGAGGCTGCTGTAGGGTTAATATTTTAGGTTTCGTTTTATTCCTAAACAGGGGAAGGGTGTAATAATAATAGTAATAATAATCATAATAATAATAATAATAATAATAATAATAATAATAATAATAATAAACACTTCATTTATATAGTGCCATTTCCACTAATGTGCAATGGCGCTTTACCAGAAATGTTAAAAATATTACAAATATTGTTCATAAACTACATTACATTGAAGCAATTAACAAACTAATAAATTGATAAAGAAACGCTTTCACTTAAAACGACTAAAATACAGTCGACTCCCGATAACTCGAACCTACAAGGGAAATCGAAAAAAGTTCGAGTCATCGGGAGTTCGAGTTATTGGGAGCTCAGAGAAAATAGCCGGAAGTAAGGAAAAAGAACCGTTTTGCTGCACAGTGAACATTTTAATCACATTCAGTTACAGAAATGTTAAGTGAAAAATGAAAGATACTTCTAGATTATAAATCAGAACGTAACGTAACAAAACATTGCCTAAATAGAGCATGCGTTTTGCTGTTTTAGAAGTAAAGCTGTTTCATGTTAAATTTGTGACAAACAACATAAGCCTCTACTAGCAAACTATATGCCTACAACACGTCAATGGGAAATTCAAAATTCAATGTTTCGGACGCCAGTAGACTGTCTTTTTTCCGAGTTTTAAGGGCTCAAAACATAGTTCGAGTTATCGAGGGTAAAATTATATAGAAATGATCTGAGGCGAAACAAAAATTACTTCTAGTTATCGAGAGTTCGAGTTACCAAGGGTAAAATTACAGTAAATGTATGACGGAAATCCAGGGGAAATCGATTTTGGTTCGAGTTAGCGCAAGGTTCGAGTTATCGGGAGTCAAAACCACTTCCTCAAAAGATAAGTCTCTTTAGCTCAGTTTTTCTGAAAATCGTTCAAACTGTCACAAGATCTTATTTCTAGTGGCATATCATTCCACAACTGTGGTGACGTTACTCAAAAAGACCGGGGACCATAGTTGCGCAGATATATATCGGACATCAAGCAGACGACGGCTATTAGCAGATCTTAAATTGCGCCGAGGAATGTACCTCGTAACTAAGTCGGACAAATATGAAGCGCCTAATCTATTTAAACATTTAAAGGTGTGTAAGCAATGCCCAAACATGCGGCAGGTATTCCCGGGACCCGGGGGTAACTTACCCTGACATCCGCCCAGTGTAGCCAGAAAAAAAGCTTCTTTAAAAGTTAGCGGTGTGTATCCATCGGACTTGTTAAGACTAAGCACGTTAGAGGCCTTGATACAGTCCCGCATAGCGACCAGCATTGATGAAGATTCACCGCCTGATACATCTACAAACAACAAGAAAAGCAGGGGAAAATGACACTGATACAAATTCTGCCAAGAAAATTCCCAACTGTTATTTTTTAAAATGCTGAAAAAACAAATGATAACAAGTGATAAGAGTGCAGATGCAGTTTTAGTTGGAATGGTAAAATCGTCACGAGTGAAATTAGGGAATAATTTTACGCGCGTTTTGTCCAGATTCTAGAGCCTTTAAAATAATAACAATAGCTTGAAATACGTGTCTTGTAAAACCTCGAGAATCTCGTCGGAAACGGCCTTCACTAGGAAATAAAGCCTGGAAAAAGTCAAAAAAGGGACCAGAAAGAAAAAAAGTAAAATGCCTTTTCCGGTACCCGAACCCGGGACCAAAGGAGTAAGGCATGGAGCCCAGATGCGAGTCGAGTCCCGACAATTTTTTTTAGCCTTGCTTCGGGATGAAAAATAAAAATAATGATAACCTTTATATAACCTCGGCAGTATTTATGGCACAAAGGCTAGTCGGACAATTAACTAAGACAAAAAGATCAAATAAAACATAGCAGTGTTCAGAATTCATGTTTGTTTCCAGCTGACACTGAGGAGGCAAACCACGCTGGCTTTGCGCGCGTTTTCACACTTCTTAACAGCTTTTGACTGATGTACTAGTATACAAGTATCACTTTGCAAGACCAGGTCAGTATTGGTGGATTTCTACTGATACACAAACTATTACTGGATGATCTTTACACATATAATAACTAAATGGTTACACCACAGCTGTTATTATAGTTCACCTGTCCCTAGACCAACTTTCACGTTCTTGTCCAACATGTACCTGACATCAGCAATGCCACTTCTTATACTAAGGCAAGAAAGAAATACAAGCATCAAGCAGTGGCAAAGCCTTCAAACGGACAGACTTACTCCATCACGAAACGATTTGCAAACCGTATTTCAACACTTATGTTGCACCTAAGGGGAACCTAGTGCAAAATTCAAAGTTCACTATCTTCAAAATGGTAAAGAAAGCCTTCCCTTCCCCACCCTCCCGTAGGAATGTTGTGGCGCTTCTCAAATCGCCTATAGAAGAGCAAAACAAGCCAAGTTTAGTTAGAGGGGCAGGGTGGGGAGAGGGCCAAGATTGTTTTGTTGTCCAAAATATTGCATACCCTATTGAAATAAAAAAAAGTTAAAAAAATAAAAAATATATAGAGGTAGCACGTCCACATAGTGGTTCATTTTCTATCATTCCTCGTGGAACTGGAATATGGAAATTATGGCTTTTGAGGAGAGCGGAAAACCGAAGTAGCCAAAGAAAACCTGTTGGAGCCAGGAAGAGAACCAACAACAAACTCAACCCACACATGGTATCGACGCTGGAATTTGAACCAGCGCCGCATTAGTAAAAGGCAAGTGCTCTCAACTGAACTCGCCATCCCTTGCTCGTAAATTACACGAAAGTGAACCCTATTACGCAAAAGCGTCTCAACATATTTGTCCCTGACTTATCTATCTCCACAAGTATATTGGCCCTTGATGACTTTTATAATTCTTTAATTCTTTGCAAAGTGTATCCATGACTTAATAGCACATTTTCACCGAGTCCTTTCCAATTAATTGTAAGCAGACAATAATCCAATTTTTAAAAATGCTTCAATAAGAGAAGCATGCACTCACTTGAAGTTGGATGTTGGACAATGTGCAACAGCTGAACACCTTTCCGACAAAAGGTTAAGTTCCTCATCAGAACCATGGCAGCAATGAGCCATGTACGTCTTTAAAAAAAAAAAAAACAAGTACTCTTGATCAGAGATGGGAGAAAATACTGTACTCAGACAGTGGTACATCCAGGGGGTATTCAACAAAGGTTAAAACCCAGGGAAGGTTGGCCCCATGTCCGATCCCTTACCGTTTTATATATCATTTTTGAAAGAAAAGGTAACCCTTTCGTATACCTTATATTGATAAATAAAACCCCTTTCACTAGCCTGCGTGGCAGGCGTTTGAAAGGGAAGGGGAAGGGAATTAGGGCGCGAGACCACGCACGAGGGGTTTCCCTCCCTCCTTCCTCGCACGCCCCTCGCATTTCTCTCGCGCCTAAAACTCCCTTTCCCAAAACTCCCTTTCTCTTCCCTTTCAAACGCCTGCGACGTAGGCTACCCTTTCACATACTTAGTTAACCCTGCATTCCTTTTAACTGCTGTAAATGCACTGTCTATAAAGTATGAATAAATCACAGAACCAGAACATTTTCTTGACTTTTTCACAGCCATAGAATGTGTCTCGTAGCTCTTTTGGCCCTTTAATGGGCCAAAATGACAGATTTCCCTGCCCTTTCCTTTCATATACCTTCACTAATCTGAAAAAGGTACCCCTCCGTATAGACCATTATAGGAAGTACCACCCAGCTCCCCGCCTTGAGAGTCGATTTAGAACTGAAGTTAAGAGAGGCCTGCTCATCCAGACTTTGAGATAAGAGAGGAAGACTGCTGTCAAAAATAATTTTTGTTGGCCCTGCTGGCCTAGCCTACGAACAGCAGACGCATTTCCAGTCGTCCCTTCTCTCGACGACTGGAAATGCATCTGCTGTTTGCAGGCTATGCTGGCCTTGTTTTTGGTCTACAAATACAGGGAGCAGGGTGTTGGTTCATCTACATTAGCCTTCAGAACAGCTGTATTTTTTCACATTTTTAAGGCAGGTGAAGGCAAGCGTGAAGCGAGTGAGGAGTGCCAGACATGCGCATCTGGTGTTCCTCGTTCACTTCACTCATCTGAAAAATGCAAAAAAATAACGCTTGTTCTGCAGGCTAATCTACATCCACCAAGGCCAGAGAACAGCGGCACAATCTCAGACCCACCATGACCTAAGCCTGCAGAACGCAAGCACCATGTCAAGAAGATGATGAAGAAATAATAGAAAAAATTCATGCCTGAATACTAACCTTGTTGTTTAGCAAGTTATGTTTATCATAAACTGCAGTATAGCTGTAACCTGGATAGTCCTTTTCAACCAGGGCTATTTCATTCTTTGATTCATTCAAATGACTCTAAAATACAAAATTGTGGTAATCAAAGTAATAATGTTGAAACTGCACTTTCACATAACATTTTGCTGAAAACAGGGGAGGGAAAGCACAGAGGTAGCCAAATTTATGCTATCTGATAGAGATGGGTGAGGAGGGTAAACTGTATTTCCTCGGGTAAGTAACAATGCTCTAATAAGCACCCACCTTCTAGGCCATAATATCAAAAAGCACCCCCCCTTCAAATAAGTGTCCCCTTCCGTCCCCCTCACCATTTTAAATAGTAAGGATACAAGGGGAATGCAAAGATGTGCATATCATTGATGAGGATAATAGGAGTGGCGAATGGTATGTGGATTTTGGAAAATTTTGGCAGGATCTCGAAATCTCGGAAGCGTTTTTGATAAGTCTTGAAGTCTCATTTTTTCATGGTTTGTTTTTTTTTTTTGAGTCTCAAAACTTTTCACCAAAGAGTCTCGGGCTCAGACTTCTAACTAGGATCTCGGCATCTCTGCAAGTCTTGGATTTTACCATTTGCCACCCATGATAGTCTCAAAGATGATAAAATAATCAATATAGGCAAGTTGCCCTAAGCTTCTATTTCAAAGCCAGGCTAAGTGTGATATTTGCCATTGATATAATCTTACTTTTCAGAAGGCAATTTATTAGCAGTTCTTGAGAGGTCAAGAGGCATAAAGCCTCTCTTTATTCTAATAACATTTTGTTTTAGAAAATGTACCTGTATGGGAACATTATACTTCTTAGCTATGTGTCCTAACTTCTTCAGCAGATGTGAGGTGCATGACAGAACAAACCTTGGAGTAACCACTGGTGTGATAAGAGGATTCTGCCAAAAAAAGGAGAAACAACCACACTTTGAACCCACGCATCAAGCCAAACAATGTACATAGATTGAAATATTGTTCCACCTGAGTGGGTGTATGGTCCTGAATATTTACAACTGTTGTTGATAATGACTGACTTAATTTTGACAACCTGTGTGGTGGTGATAGTCACAACCAAAGTAAGTTTTGTATCACTATTTAATGGTATTTAACTCTGGCTATATTGACTTGATTGGGTTTGAAATTATTGGTCATCAGTCAGTTAAGCCAAGATGTTATTGGCTGCAGTGTTTCCAACGCAATAAATGGAAATCATTAGAGACAGGCAAAAGTATATATTCAACAAAAGCTGTTGGAATATCATAGTCATTTCTCCTAGCATAAACTATGTACTTCTTGTTTTATTAACTATCCAACCGCACTTTTTTAAAGTCATGCTGTTGAGATTTTTCTAATCCTATTACTTTCCTTTCATAGATTTGCTGCTCGATAAAGGCAAACTTTACTTCTCAATTTACTGATCAGTAGTACCTTAAGTTCCAGTACATGCTTGACAAACCTGTCAAAAGTAACAAAAAGATTGCACTGCATATGGATTACATGAAAGTTTTAAGTCTAATTGGCAAAAACTACATACAGTTGTATATAAATAGCATACATTCAAGGAATGCAATTGCGAAGATGGATGGCTGCGATAAAACTTTGTCTCATGTGGAAATCATATTTTCAAAAAAAACAATTTGGTGAACAATACAAATGAATCCTCCACAGTGAATCAAAACATGGTGAGTCAGCAGATTAACCAAATTTGCACCCCCTTTAATATCAAAATAAAATAGTAATTAAAACTCCTTTAAAATAATTACCAACCAAACCCATGAATGACCACACCACTACAGTCTGCACCCCCAACTGTGTACTCTTAAATATGGACAGGGGTGTGAGTTCTTTGATGTCCAGTTTATGCAGATATGCAGTCAATTCGAGATGTGCCCTCCTAATCTCCACTAACACAAGCTCTCTTGCAGCAAAATACTCCCAATTCATATTTAGCTCTGTTTAGAGTTCTGACAACATGCATGTTAAAAACTGGTTGGTGGCCGTGGGTTTGGCAAATGAACACGAGGAGAGGGACCCCTAACTATTCACAGATGTCTGCAGGGCAAAGGCAGCACATTTTGTCAAGTGTTGGTCTAGCCAGGAAATCAAACCTTGGCCTACTGTTTCAAACTCTGGTATGCGATCAATTGAGCTAACCAGGTAGTAGTAAACTTTGATCATACCTTTCTGTATCTTTTATTGACTGTTCTGTTTCTTCAATGTAGTAGTCAGGACTGTTTCTATCCATGCACACTTTGCCTATATAGCAGCGTTGACCAAGTTCAGCTAGAAGAGAGAAAAGGACAGTGTTTACATGCTGAAAAATTGGTTCTATTTTTAGTCAGACATTTACAGTCAGACTACAGCAAAAACCCGTCACTGAGAACCTACAGGTTCTTACATAAATGGCAATTTATTAGTTCAGATTTAGGCTATTTAGGTTCTGAAATAGGTTCTTATTTTCTGAAGAAAAAATACAATGCAGCTAAGAGTATTAAGTAAGTATATTCAGCTTATTCCTTAAAAAATGTGCATAGCGAATACATTTCAGTTGGAGTGATAAGGCACCTGACATGTCTCCAATAAGGATCCTGAATGTTGACTTATCTTTCTTGCCCAATTGCTCAGAATTATTACTATAGATTTTAGAAAATAAGAACCCATTTTAAATCTTAGGCTAAACAGGTTTTTGTATGGAGGGCACCTAACTGGCAAATTTTAGCCTAACAGGTTCTTAAAAACTAAGTTCTTAGCCGGGGATTTTTAATGTACCTAAATTCCACAAATCGTGATCAATACATGTCTCCAATAAGGATCCTGAATGTTGACTTATCTTTCTTGCCCAATTGCTCAGAATTTTTACTATACATTTTAGAAAATAAGAACCCATTTTAAATTTTAGGCTAAACAGGTTTTTGTACGGAGGGGACCTAACTGGCAAATTTTAGCCTAACAGGTTCTTAAAAACTAAGTTCTTAGCCGGGGATTTTTAATGTACCTAAATTCCACAAATCGTGATCAATACCAAAAATAGGTAAGGTACTTGAATAATTTATGTTTTTCTTTTATTTCTGTCAAATGTCCTAAAAGTACACAACCTTGGGACCAGAAAAAGTGTTTTATGAGAGCTGTCCTCTTGCAGCAGATGTCTGTTGGTGGGGATTCTGTGTCTATACACTGTATGTATGCATTCAATGCTGACTGTTCAGGCACTCTAAGTGGCCTGAATTAAGCATAAAAGAGGTTTGAGGCTCAAACTGTGATTTTATGATTGTCTCTGAATATCTTTCTTGTTTGTTAGAATTTTTTCTACAATATGACCCTCTATCAATACAGCCTTGGTCATTTTTCCTACTCAACATAATATAATGCCAGAAAGCAATACTTCCTTGTTGATACACATAGGCACGCCCTCCCCCTTCTCATTTTAGTCACAACTGGTGCTGAGTACTAGCCCTGGAGAAAGTACCCACTTTGACACACTGTGCTGAGAATTGTGCTGGGATGCCAAAAAGAATCAAATCAAGATTGTTGGGTATGACTACCTGTAACTTCTTCTTGTGAGTATGGAAAAAATTTAATATATCCCTCTTAATTCTGCTGTGAATATTATTTAATAAGAATGTCATCTCCCTATGAGCCATACCATACGTAGTGTTAACTCTCCACTTATATAACAAATAAACAATGTATAATAAACTTGCCTCACTTACCAACAATATCACAAAGAATCTCTGAAGCTTCATAATGAATGGTTGCAAAATATGATGCAGTTGTTGTGCCATTCTTTAGGAGTCTTGTCTACAAAAAATCACAAAAATTAAATTACCGCAAATTTTGATGACACACACTAACCCCAAGAAGGTTCTTAATATGCCCTATGAAAGACAGTATCGTGGGGCAAAATAATAAAAAATTATTATAGAAATATTTTTTCTTTCTTTTTAGATTAGACATGGTACAGCAGGTGAATAGTACAGTCGACTCCCGATAATTCGAACCTTCAAAAGAAAGTTCGAGTTATCGGGGGCTCAAAGAAAATAGCTGCGAGTAAGGTAAAAAACAGTTTTTACTGCAGAGGGAACATTTTAATCACATTCAATTGTAGCAATGTTAAGCAAAAATTCAAAGATACTTCTAGATTAAAAATCAGAACGTAACGTAACAAAACATTCCCTAAGTTGAACATGAGTTTTACTGCTTTGAGAAGTAAAGCTGTTTCACGTGAGATTTGTGACAAACAAATCAGCTTCCACCAGTAAACTATACTCCTACAACACATCAATGCCATGAGAAGTTCAAAATTCAATGTTTTGGATGCCAGTAGACTGTTCTTTTTCCAGACTTTTTAAGGACTCAAAACAAATTGGTTCAAGTTATCAAGGGTAAAATTAAATAGAAATGATCTGAGGGGAAACAAAAACTACTTCGAGTAAGCGGGAGGTTCGAGCTATCGAGGGTTCAAGTTACTGATGGTAAAATTACAGTAAATGTATGATTGAAATCCAGGGAAAATTGATTTTGGTTAAAGTTAGAGCAAGGTTTGAGTTAGCAAGCTTAAGGGTTCGAGTTATCGGGAGTCAACTGTAATTATTATTACAGTACAGTGCGGTACATTATATAAATAGAGTCTGCTATTTAGCATCAAAACTAAAAAGTGTTGGAATGCGGGTCGAATGTAAATAAAGGTCAGATTTATTTGAAGATTATATTGCCTCTGTGATAAATCTAAAGTATCCTGCATGGACCTACAAAACAAAACACCTTTTCTTCACAAATTCTAAGATGGGAAATATTGTGCGGCCAGCCTGTTGCTAGTCCTGTAAGCTGCAGGTTCTTACTTTTGAGTCTGTAGATCAGTATTTTTACATTATTCGGAATTTTTGTCTAATGGGCGATTCCAGAAAATATCCATACCATACCACGGACGGCTTTAAGGATTTCCGAAGGGGAGGGGGGATTCACGATTATGGAATTCTGAAGGCATGGGGGGGTATTTACGATTTGAAATCCGAAGGTATGGGGGAATTCCACAGGTGGGATTTCTGGAGTAGAAAGTGTAGAGTAAGTTCCTGGAAAACGTTATTGTTGTGGACTTTTTGTAGTTAAGTAGAATAAACCACGAACGTATGACCACGGAAGCAGAAGACAAGCATCGATAGATCAGACACGTGTTTACGCTCATAACTTATAGAAGTGAACAGTAAAACGTTGGTTTCACATTTACCTTGATGACTTTCTTGTCACGTGAATAAAAACTGAAAATGTATCTTTTAATACCCCTTGCAAATTTCTTGTTACTCCCGTCCGAAACCGTCCGATAAACAGTAAAAACTCGCACCAGTCCTCACTTCCAAGGAACGCCTGTCAGATTAGAACGCTTTTAGGCGCACTCACGTGACGTATAAAAGGACGCAACACGACTCGACTGTATATTTGACCGCCAAAAGATTTTAACAGTCTGTTTGAGCTATTTTCCTTTGTAAACGTCAAAACAGCACAAGAAAACAAAGAGGAGTAAAATTACCTTAAGTGGTGTTTATTTTTATAGCCAAATTCGGACTTAAAAAGGAGTTTGCACCGCCTGGCAACTAGCGTAGGTTTTTCTTGTCACTGAAGAGTAAAGCTTGTCACCTGGCGCCGGTAAATCACAGCCTTGAGGAGGCATAAATTCATGTTCTTTTGTTCTTATAGGCATTGCTAAGTCGAAAATGTACTTCCAAAAAAAACCCGGAAATTCTGAAGGGGAGGGGGGGTTCACGACTATGGAATTCTGAGGGCATGGGGGGGTAGCACATTTTGGAATTTCCGAAGGCAAGGGGGGGTTAAAACATGGAAGCCGTCCGTGGTTGGGTATGGATATTTTCTGGAATTGCCCAATTTTGACTTTAACTTCCTCTGGGATTAGTAAAAGGATTAATACTCACTCACCACAACCTTGCGGTAAGCCACTTGGGCAAACTCAACATTTCGAAATCGTGATTCTGATGGAAAGGTATATTTTTCAAGCCAATCGAGAAGAGGTAAGTCATAACCAGTACCCGTGAATACATATTGCGGAGCATGAATATGAGTATCAACAAATCCTGGCATCAAAAATTGTCTGCACAAAAAAAGATAAGATTCAGATGATGTTAAATGCACTGGATTTGCAAGGGGAAAGTGTGTTCTAGGCAAAACACATGTTCCCTGTTTAAAGTAGATTACTTCAAGATTTTTCCTGGAGCAAATCAATAAATTTGTTGCCAAGCTGGTTTGATTTTCGCCAGGACAAACCCAAGTTGCCATGTCAGGATTCCCTTTTCTCCCCCTCCTAGTCTGTCTGTATGGATGTAAGTACAGATGTATGGATGGCCATACATGCATAAGGTGAGGTCATAACCAAAATTTTCTCAAATCGATATAGGCTTCCAATTTCTATGGCAATGGGGCTAACATGCCATGGCGCTTTGCAAGCAGAAAAAAAAGTGCTTTATTTGAGCGTCAATGTATTTAGAATGTGTCAATGCATTTTATGTCTCCTACTGGAGACGGGACCACCATTTTACTCGGTCATCCAAGCCTCGCAAAGGTCCAGCCACAGTTGCTCTGCTATTAGTAAAACTGACTTCTTTGCCCCCTCCCCAAAACAATGAGGGGTGACGAATGGTAAAATCCGAGACTCTACGAGACGCCGAGATCCTATTTAGAAATCCGAGCCCGAGACTCTTTGTAGAAAGTTTCGAGACTCAAAAAAGTAAAAACAAACCATGCAAAAACGAGACTTCGAGACTTATCAGAAACGCCTCTGAGATTTCAGGATCCTGCCAAAATTTTCCGAGACCCACTTTTTTCTAGGTACCATTCGCCACCCCTACAATGCTTATAATTTTGAGTCAGAAAGGTTCTTTTTTGGTACATTACCCTTGCTAGGGGGAGGTGGGGAGATTAAGGGATGAACCCAAAGCTGATGAAGAGTAGAGTCATGAGTAATACTAACACTGTACACTTTCCATTGTTTTTTGTTATTGGGTTTTTTTGAAGGAATAATGCGAAATATGGGTTGCAATCAAATATGAGAATGATAAAAAAAAAACAAGACAAGACAGAGAGAAGAATTTAGGCGCCTCATGACAGGATATTGTCAGCTTGTCACCCAACTGTCTTTTAACCCTACACAGCAAGGCTTAACTTGACAACCACATCAAGTTTTGCAAGGATCTAAAAGACAAGTATTTCTTTTGGCTCCAATGCTGGGACCACTGATAATGACCCAGCTAATAGCAAGCACTGAAAACCATCTAACCATCCGACATCTACTCTTCTAAAAGTGACTGACAGAAGCCATATTTACATAATTACCAAAGATTATACAGACCTGCCAGGTTGGAGGCTTATTACATCCTCCTTTTGAAATCCAAACTTCTTTGCAAGGTCTTCCAATTTTGTGGTGTTATCAATAAAAGCTATCTGGAAGGTACAATAAAATTAATAGAATCAGAAATACACTTTTTACACATTTATATGCATATCAACTTTTTATTTAACAGGTTAGAATTTTTTAACCTAGATTGACTCTCATGAATAATTAAGGTTACATGTACGAGGCAAAGAAAACTGGGAATCAACCTAAGTTAAAAAATTTTAACCTGAATTTTAATTTTGACCTGCAACATATACACTCGATGCAACCAGTTACCAAAGCCAACATGTTGTTGTTTACATCAACAAAGCACATAGATAAGAAGATTCCTTTGTTTTGCACTGTGCATCACCAAGAGATAATGGGGGGGGGGGAGTACTCCCACATATGTGCTATATAGGTAAGTGCCACTGAATAGGGTATGGTTTTTGAGGTTCTCAGTCCTTAAATAGGGTATCTTTTTTGACCCTTTTGTTTCTGTGTCCCTGGTGTGGTCCTTAGATAGGGTAGCTTAATTGTATTATCTAATACTGGAGTGTGAAAAGGCTCACCTAAACGAACATTTTTTTAAACTAGACGTATTCTAGTATCTTATGCTTGATGCTATACATCCAATGTTACAGAGAAGAAATAAAGTTTTCCTTTTCATGCTATTAATAATTTTGTTTTTTCCTTGAATAGGATGTCATTTTTTGGCTTTCGGTCTTAAAAAGGGTATCAGTTTTCGCTTTCTTAGTCCTTAAATAGGGTTAGGGTTCATGAACCTTCGCGGCACACCCCTATCCAAAATTCGCGGGAGCAGCCCCCCCTGGGGATAATGGGTGTCAAAGGTGATTTCACTTTCCAACAAAGGCCACGTCAAGCAAAACAAAAATCGAAAAACCACTAATATGAAAAAAATAACATACCTAAAAGGTATAACCGTTGTAAATGAGTGTTTAATCCTAAACAGCGCTTTAAACCCTAATCCGTAAAGCGAGTGTTTAAACTGAGCGCTTAACCCTAATCAGTGAAAGTCGACCAATACTGCGTAATTCTGCAAATAATATTCCAGCAGCAAAACCTCACATACCCATTGCATTTACAATTTCATAAAACTCTATTTTTTCCCGTGGCTTGCATGGCTTGCATGGCTCGCAGATTATCCAGACCCATATTATGGAAAACAGCAATCGCCTCAATCGTTCTGATCGTGTAAAAATATTTTTGAAACGGCTGGGGCGACCGAGACGATCCGGACGATCGTATGGAAACCACACTTAATTAGCGTTTACTGCGCAAATTATTAACCTGACGACCCCGTGACTGCAGGACCGCGTGAGCCGCATATTTATAGGACAACCGGGACAGAGGGGCACTCAGCTGTGTTTTCACTCTAAAAACAGGGCCGGGTTATTGTACGCTGGGTCGCCGGGTCCAATACTTTCCGCAGAAAGTAGAATCTACTTTCGGGCCATGCTTACATACGGTGAATATCAGGAAAAAGCGTCCTCTTCTGGCAGGCAAAAAGAGCCCAAAACGTCGTAGATTCGGCACGTACCAGCAGAAATCTTGCAAATTTAATTTTTAACCAATTGCGTAATTTTACGAGACACAGAACTCCAAACAAAACAAAGAAACAGTTACCTTGCCATTACTGTCAACTCCTATTAATCTCTTCTTACATATTTCCATCATATTTTCCTTACTAGAATGCACTAGAGTGCCAGAAAAGACATGCTTCATCTGGCACTTGCTGGATTTGCGTTGCGGTTCCGCCATGTTCCTGAAGTGCAACCAATAAACAGCACCCTTCCCCGGAAGAAGAAAAACGGTTTCCCTTCTCGGGGAGGGTTCGGGGGTAGCTGCGTTCTTGGAAGGGATTTGAAAGAGATTGAACACCCAACAGAGGCACCCAATGGATCTGTTCCTCAAAATATCTGCTCTACAGGCAATTTTTTGCTGGCTGGGTGATTTGGAAACTGATGATTTGTCCTTGTGAGGAAATTGTGCCTGGGAGGTAGACAACTCAAAAGCAGGGTGACTGAGGGACCCGCGGTGGGGGTGGGGGGTTCTTGGGTTAATTTTTGATGGGTAAGTTCCGCTGGCCTCTCAGAGCCCCCACCATTTACAATCTATTCTGTGATGTGGCCAATCATAGACCCCATCTTGGTCACTTTTGAGCAAATACCGTAATTTTCGCTATCCCGGAACTTAGTCATTTTCTATTTTTATGAATTGACCCATTTTTTAGACTGAATGTAGAACACTTTACTTTTCATCTGCAGTACAAACATTCTGGTAGTGTGCTAACCGTAAATATGAAGAACTGTCTTACCCTAAAAAATCCGCCATGTGCGACCCCATTCTAGTAACTCTATTGAAAATGCGACTCCATTATAGTCAGTTCAGTCGTGAAAATACGACCCCATCCAGCGGCACATCCCCATTAGCCTCTTATAAAGAAGTACCCCTCCCCAGGCTGAGGGGATTTGATGTCTAGAATTAGTACCTGCTATGTGCTATTTGTAAGCAACCTCTCACCCCTCTCCCCCCTCTCCCCCCACCCCGCCCCCGCCAAACCTAAGGAGTGAATAGACCTTGTTGCTGCCGTCAATCATCTTAACGGACCTCTTAGGAAACAAAACTTTACTTTAAAGGGTTCAAAAGGTCATGGTTTTCGATTTCGATCTGTTTTGTGTGTTTCTGTGTTTCAAGGTTCGTTGCTTGTAATCGTAATTATAATTGACGGCAGCGAAAAACGCAATTGTGAAGGCTTATGAACTTTAGAGTTCGCATGTTTGTGAAAAGCGCAGTAACTTACGAAACTCATTAGTTTTATGTTGACACTAGCTTTTAAGACTAGGAAAATCAGTGAAAGATTCTGGCAATTCTACTTTTTTACAAAAAGGTCAACTCTGGTAGTTAAAACTAAGTAGCAAACTAAGTTTCTGCATTTATTTTCCGTAGAACAAAATGCAAAATTGTTCCCTTTTTTGTCTATGCTTGTCGTTTAGGATAAAAGTTAAGAAAAGGTACCTATTGTTTGAAAAAGAAGTCGGGTATTCTCAGCTTTCGAGTGAATGATATTTTGACGTCAATATTGTCCGCTCTTCATCCATTTCTCGCTTCAGCAAACGATGTTTTAAAGCGCAGAAAAAGGTACCTTTTTTTTCGGTTTCAAGCGATGTCATGAAAGGTACAAAAAGGTACCTTTTTTGCAGTTGGAAGCGATGTTCTCAAAAGCGCGAAAAATCTTGGCAGTTGGAAGTTATGTTCTCAAAAGCGGGCAAAATTTACGTTTATTAAAAGTCTTAAAAAATGTAAAATAGTGTTTTCAAGCCATGGGAAGCCATTTAGAATCCTACTGATTGACAGATGCAACCGTTTGGTGCCATTTTATGATTTTTTTTGTCTGAATTTACTAATCCACTAGTCAAGAGATAAATATTCCCCGTTTGTTGGCCGAGTTTGAAAACAATTGCTGAGCTTGACACTGTGACAGTGTCAGGTCGCAGTTTTAAAATCTATTCCCCATGCTTGATTTTGGCATGGGTGTGAGCCATCTTGATCAGTGTCGGAGTGGAGATGGAAGCATTTTCGCTGGCTCGGTGGTTATCAATGAATGACAGGTGTCAGTTATAAGTAACCTGAAGAGAAGCCGGGCCAGGCTCTTGTGCATTTAAAATGCGTTTTTTGTTTCCTCGCTAAAATGCTTTACCTTAATGCTCCATTTTTTTTCGAATAACATGCTCACTCTAAAAAAATTCACTAAAATGCGCGACGATGAGATGATGATAAGTATAAGTGTTAAAACAACCAGAATGTACGCTAATGGATTTAATACACCAAAAGACAATTAACAGTGGCATTTGAAATTATTTTTATTTTGACTTTTGAGAGTTTATTTTCTATTTTCATTTTCTCTGAAAAAAACATTTTCCGGGAAATTGCACCAAAATTCTCGAAAAAAAATGCTGGCATGCTGTACAAAAGTCTAAGAAGAGGAAAGCTGTTCAGGCTTTCCTTATTATTTAGTTAGAGGGTGTTAGAGGTACATGTATGGTGGAATTTTTACTGTTAAGGGCTTTACTTCGGTCTGTAGCTCAAAAAGCACCAGAAGTTTAATTATTTGTACAATTTATATAATAGCAAACAAAAATAACCACAAGACTGAAGTCTCTAATAACCTTTCTGGAGTGAAAAACATCACCCACGAAACAAGACAGTTATTAAAATGACCCGCTCGGAACCCGCTCAGTTTAGACTTAAAGCTGAAAAGAAAAATGAACACTTTTGCTTTACATGTAGGACTTCTTTCAGGTTAAAGTATTTGCTCCACGCTTAAAATTGCGCTTGCTGAGCTTCTCTTCTTGCATCTGGTTTTAAAGTACCAGAAGTTGCTACATTTTCAGGAGCCATTTTATCCATTTGGCTGGTGGCCAGTATTTTCGGATTTCTCATAGTTTCTTGCTTTTGATCTTGGCTAAAAGAAGCGAGCTAAAACTTTTTACTCCGCTTTTTACCCTCGTAGACCATTTCAATTTTAACAGGATCACCTAGAATCCGCTAAAAAAAGTCTGCATCGTTCATTGAAGCTCAAGAGGTGTTAACGGTTGACATCTGTCAGTCAGCAGGATTTTAAATGGCTTCCCAAAAGCTTGAAAACGCTATTTTATATTTTTAAAAAGGTACCTTTTTCGCACTTTTAACAACATCACTTCCAACTGCAAAAAAGGTACCATTTTGACGCTTTTGAGAACATCACTTCCAACTGCAAAAAAGGTACCTTTTTGCGCCTTTAATGAGATCGCTTGGAAGGGACAAAAAGATACGGGAAACTCTTTCGCGCTTTAAATCATCGTTTGGTAAAGTGAGAAATGGATGAAGAGCGGACAATATTGACGTCAAAATATCATTCACTCAAAAGATAAAAATACCTGACTTCTTTTTCAAAAAAAGGTGCCTTTTCTTAACTTTTAACCTAAACGATAAGTATAGACATTAAAAAGGTAACAAGTTTGCAAATTTTGTTCTTCGGAAAATGAATGCAGAAACTTAGTTTTTCTGCTGGTTTTAACTAGCAGAGTTGAACTTTTTGTTAAAAAGTAGAATTGCCGGAATCTTTCACTGATTTAGGAAGCTTTTAGTTCTAATTTTTAAAATCATTGAAGTAAACATATTAGCCACGCAAACAAATAAATAGCGCGCTGCTAAGGAATACGTTCGGTAAGCAGTTATAATAGATAGATAGAGAAAGAGAACAAACATCAGGAAGAATGTAGAACCGCCTTCAGGGGCACCCAATGGATCTGTTCCTCAAAATATCTGTTCTTCAGGCACATTTTTGCTGGCTGGGAGATGTGGAAGAAATAAAAGTCCTTGGAAGGAAAGCGTTGCTCGGAAAAAGATAATTCAGGGTGTCAGGGGGGATTTGAAGTCTAGAATAGCTGCTACGGGTTACTTGTATGGGTTACTTACCACTCACGATCTCAATTGTGCCCTATGAAACTTCCCAGTAAGTCAGGTTGCAGGTTGTAAGGTTGCTGGCTGGGAACTCTTCCATCAGTCTTGCTAGGAGTGAGGAACAGATAATTTTTTTCCAGCAATCTCCCAAAATGCTTGAAATAGTCTCAGAAAACTTTATTCACGCTTTGTTGTTGTTTTTAGGTCTTTTTCTCAAAATTTCCCTTTGGGTGCCCCTGCGCCTTTCGAGTAAGTAAAATAAATCTTGATTTTGGTGGAGTTCCTCTCCTTCTAGCCTCCCCGGGTCTAACCTGTACACAGGCTACTCTCCTTCTCGCCGACCCCATCAGTAAACGACACTACAAAGCATCGTTTACAAGTGGAGAAGCCTTCTTTATCAGTAGGACACAAATAACCTTCATCAGAGGTGGACCGAGTTACGTTCAGCAGAGTGCTGAAAAAGTCAGAGGACCAACCTCTTTGACAGATCTACAAGAACCTCCCATTATATCGTACAAACGTGAAAGGTCTCTGAAGGATATACTCTTAAAAAGCTGAGCCAAACTCTGGGAATTAAAAGCTATAAACGGCGTGGGCGGAAGGCGTACCTTATATGAAATTTTCGCGTTAATTTCGCGAATTTCGCGATACAAAAAAAATCCCGAAATTAAACTGACGCGAACAAAATGCTTGAATTATATCAATAATCAAGAAAGAACGAGTTTATTACCACTGAAACTCACACAAAATCACATTTTTTACTGTTCATTTTTTCTCCGTGCTAAGTCTGTAGGAAGGAATTTTTAGTGTAAATGGATGTTGTGGTCAACTGACTCAAGACTGATGAATAATTTACGTCTACAGACATGAACTGCTTGTGGACATTTTGAGAACTGCTTTGTTGTTAACTACTGTTGACATCTAGTCCCGCTGTGACGTTATTGCTCCTTCGATAAAGTCGTTTTATTTAATTCAAGGACATGTTAAATAACATTGCCAATGAAATGTGAATTGCGGTGCTTCAAAACGCGAAATTAACTGAGTGATTCAAAATATGACGCGAAATTCTTCCCAAATCGCGAAATTTAAATGTCGCGAAATATGCGCACATCAAAATCGCGAAATAAACATGTCGCGAAAATTTCATGTAATAAGGCAATTCGGGCTTGTCTTCCCAGTTACAGTTAACCAAAAAATGACAGTTCACCCTGGATTAATCAGTTATCGGCTTTCGCGAGGAACTGAGAAGCCTCTTCAGTGAAACATCGTTTCGTTGAAGGTTTCAGGGCGATAAAAGCCGGAGTCACGCGTGTTGCACACA